CCTCCGACACGATGACTCGGGATGCCCACCCGAAGGACATTGCCGCGCCCGGACGCAGGGACGCAGTTGCGCACCCACCTGCGCGCACCGGCCACCGAGTGGCAGCGGGTGGTCAGAAGACTGAGCCCACACCTGTGCCTAGTGCGTACGCCTGCTTCCTTCGCTGGCCGCCAGTGCGGTTGCCCGGGCCGCCATCATCCCATCGTCGCTCCCCCGCTCCGCCCGGATGAGCGGTCAACTCCCTGGGCTTCTTCGTGACCACTGGCTGCTGCTTGGGCTGCAGCTGGTAAGCGGCAGCACAGCTTTCCAGAGCGCCATCGTATTCACTTCACTCTGGTACGCCAGGGTACCAGGATAGGCGGCTCTGTGTATGCTGGTCACGTTAGATGCTCCCTGGTGCGCGTCCCTGTTCTTATCTCGGTTGGCGTCGCTTGCGACTTGTGCCTGGTAGAGGGATGGGGCAGTTGTACCTTCCGCATAGCGTCGCATCATGTCACCTGATGGCCGCTTGCGTTCGCATCCATTCGCGGTTGTCTCCTGGGCCTGACGTGCTTCGTTCGGTTACTGACACCACGAACTTCGCGCCTTTGGGCTGCGTGGGTGCGTACTCTGAAGCTGCGACGGCTCGCTGGCGCTGTCAGAGTCCAACCTCTCCCTACGGGATGCCGTCTGGCGACATCTTGCGTGTCTCTCGGTCGATGCTTGTGCATGGCAGGCACCCTGGGACCCCTTGTGCGCCATTTCTGCGCCGACGTTGGAGACTCCCGACTGTTCAGATGGTGTCTCAGGGCGTGCTGCTTACTATGGCCTCTGACACGTTGGGGGTATTGCATCGCGCCACCTTGGCAGCGTAATTACTGCTCCCTGGGTGCTGGTCCCGCCGTCAGACTCCCTGGGCTGCAGCGCCCTTGCGCCCGCCGCTTGGCGCCGGCCGCGGCTCGCGCGCGCGTCCGGCCAATTAGTTTCGGCCGCAGCCGGGCCGTTACTCGCCGCCGCTGGCGCTTTCGCCCGCGGTTGTAAAAAATAGCCTGGCGAAGGACCCAACCATATGCAGCTGCGAGTACCGCAAGGATACCAGTGTCAAGCTCCCCCCGACCTTCAGTGGAGATCCCTATGGGGCCACGAAACGTGTGAGGGGTGTGCCGAAGAAGGTGTTGGGGTGTGCCGAAATGGGTGGTGGGGAGGCATGCGAACCCTGCCACTGGGGCCTTCGGTGGAGCTCCCTATGGGGCCACGAAACGTGTGAGGGGTGTGCCGAGATGGGTGGTGGGGAGGCATGCGAACCCTGCCACTGGGGCCTTCGGTGGAGCTCCCTATGGGGCCACGAAACGTGTGAGGGGTGTGCCGAGATGGGTGGTGGGGAGGCATGCGAACCCTGCCACTGGGGCCTTCGGTGGAGCTCCCTATGGGGCCACGAAACGTGTGAGGGGTGTGCCGAAATGGGTGGTGGGGAGGCATGCGAACCCTGCCATTGGGGCCTTCGGTGGAGCTCCCTATGGGGCCACGAACGTGTGAGGGGTGTGCCGAAATGGGTGGTGGGGAGGCATGCGAACCCTGCCACTGGGGCCTTCGGTGGAGCTCCCTATGGGGCCACGAAACGTGTGAGGGGCCGAAACATGCGAAACGGTGGAGCTCCCTATGGGGCCACGAAACGTGTGAGGGGTGTGCCGAAATGGGTGGTGGGGAGGCATGCGAACCCTGCCACTGGGGCCTTCGGTGGAGCTCCCTATGGGGCCACGAAACGTGTGAGGGGTGTGCCGAAATGGTGGTGGGGAGGCATGCGAACGCAGCCACTGGGGCCTTCGGTGGAGCTCCCTAGCTCCCACGAAGCGTGTGAGGGGTGTGCCGAAAATGGGTGGTGGGGAGGCATGCGAACCCTGCCACTGGGGTCGGTGGAGTGGGGGCACGAAAACGGTGAGTGTACCGAGATGGGTGGTGGGGAGGCATGCGAACCCTGCCACTGGGGCCTTCGGTGGAGCTCCCTATGGGGCCACGAAACGTGTGAGGGGTGTGCCGAGATGGGTGGTGGGGAGGCATGCGAACCCTGCCACTGGGGCCTTCGGTGGAGCTCCCTATGGGGCCACGAAACGTGTGAGGGGTGTGCCGAGATGGGTGGTGGGGAGGCATGCGAACCCTGCCACTGGGGCCTTCGGTGGAGCTCCCTATGGGGCCACGAAACGTGTGAGGGGTGTGCCGAAATGGGTGGTGGGGAGGCATGCGAACCCTGCCACTGGGGCCTTCGGTGGAGCTCCCTATGGGGCCACGAAACGTGTGAGGGGTGTGCCGAAATGGGTGGTGGGGAGGCATGCGAACCCTGCCACTGGGGCCTTCGGTGGAGCTCCCTATGGGGCCACGAAACGTGTGAGGGGTGTGCCGACATGGGTGGTGGGGAGGCATGCGAACCCTGCCACTGGGGCCTTCGGTGGAGCTCCCTATGGGGCCACGAAACGTGTGAGGAGTGTGCCGAGATGGGTGGTGGGGAGGCATGCGAACCCTGCCACTGGGGCCTTCGGTGGAGCTCCCTATGGGGCCACGAAGCGTGTGAGGGGTGTGCCGAGATGGGTGGTGGGGAGGCATGCGAACCCTAAGAGGGAGGAGGGCGAGGAGGAGGAGGAGGAGGGGGAGGAGGAGGAGGAGGAGGAGGAGAGGAGGAGAGGAACGCGGGGCACCGTCTCTTCAAAACTAGGACCCAACACCACAGGATGGTTGGGAAATATTCCAATCAGTCCATCCAGACACGCACGACACCCAGCGGAGCCGCCCTGACAAGGGGAGCTTAGCACCAATTGGGGATGTTTAGGGTTGCGTGGACCAGAGACCTCATGCATGCTTCCTTGGGCCTCTTGGGGTGTTTCTTGGCTGTCTCTTTGCAGGCATCTTGGGGCGTCTTGGGACTTTTTGCCTGCTCTTGGGGTGCCTCTTGGAGCGTCTTGGGTAGAGCCGCTTGGGGGCCTCTTGGGGTCCCGGTGGGGCTCTTGAAGGCTTTTCGGGCAGTCTTTGGACCATCTGGGAGGCTATCAACCAAGGAAGGGGGGGCCCCTGACAGCGTTGCCGGCCCCCAAGGAGGCCAGCATTGGCCCAGAACGAAAGGAACATCAGTGACGTGCGCATTCTCGCTGAGGCCTTCTTGGACGCTCTGACCGCTCGCGGCCCCTCCCGTTCAGATCCAGCGCGAGGGGGGGTTGATGGGGTCATGACGCCTCTTCCAGATGCAAAGTGCTTGGCGCACTCCCACCCGCCCTCCCAACACACAAGTGGTGCGTACCCGAGTTTCAGCATATTCAGCCGTCGTCTTTGGACGGGCAGCCACTGACAACCAACAGACGCCAGGTGCGCGATGCTGGGGCGAGGTGCGCCGCGCGTTCCAGGGGCGCCACGCGCACCAGGCGCGCCAGGCCACCCTGAGGCCCAAGCGTGCCAGGCACGCCTGGTGCGCCAGATGCGCCAGGTGCTTCACGTGCGCCAAGTGTGCCGTATGCTCTAGCCGCGCCAGGTGCGAGCTTCGTGCAGAGTGTGCCAAATGCGCTGGCGCACATCGGGACCACCATCAATGCCGAAAACCTATGCACAACCGCAGCGGAGTGGCCATTATGATGTCGGGTGGGCCTGCACGCAGCAGGCAACATGCCAGCACCCCCACCGTCCGTGTCAACAACCAACGCAAAGTGACCACGGGGTGCCCGCGCATGATCTAGATTTAGCCGCGAAGTGCTGTTTGTACTGTTCCCTACCTAGGCTCTGCCTAGAAGGGTTCTTACTCTCTTAGCTTAAAGGGGCCGGGCAGTGCACACCGCCCCGGCGGTTCCCCCAGTCCCCTGGGAGCGGTTTCCCCCAGTCCCCTGGGAGCTTTAGCTTTAGCTTTAGCTTAGCTTTAGCTTAGCTTTAGCTTAGCTGTAGCTTAGCTTTAGCTTAGCGTTTCGCTTAGCTTTTCGCTTAGCTTTTAGCTTAGCCTTTAGCTTAGCTTTAGCTTAGCTTTAGCTTAGCTTTAGCTTAGCTTGAGCTTAGCTGTAGCTTAGCTTTAGCGTAGCTTTAGCTTAGCTTTAGCTTAGCTTTAGCTTAGCTTTAGCTTAGCTTTAGCTTAGCTTTACCTTAGCTTTAGCTTAGCTATAGCTTAGCTTTAGCTTAGCTGTTGCTCAGCTTTAGCTTAGCTTTAGCTTAGCTTTAGCTTATCTTTAGCTTAGCTTTAGCTTAGCTTTAGCTTAGCTGTGGTTTAGCTTTAGCTTAGCTTTAGCTTAGCTTTAGCTTAGCTTTAGCTTAGCGTTACTGTTACGACTAATGCTGCTTTCCTAGGGTTTCCAACTCCTAGGTAGGGTCGCACTGGGATCATTTTTTGAAGTGATGGTGTCCCTGCGTACAGTAGGCCATATGCTAGCACCCCCGCCTCCCTTTCCATAAACAATACAATGGGTGCTTGCGGGATCCACGAGCATGACCCAAGATTCTGCCGCAAAGTGCTCATTGCATTGTTTTGTTGTAGGGATGGCGGCGGGTGGTTGCTTTCTTTGGTCCTGGTTTGTCGCCGGTCGGATGCGGAAGGGGACGTGTACTAATGGGGAGCAGCGATGAACCACTCCCCGAAGGTGAAATGGAGTTGGAGGAGGAAACGCTCGAAACCCTACGCTCCAAAGGGCTGATGGGATTACCCGCTGCCAGTGTTCGATGATGCTACAGGTTCAGTTCTCGAACAGTAGGCAGCACGATGGATGGGGGATGACCTTCCAGACTGGATGGGATAGTCTCGCATTGCTTTGGGTGTTCAAGTATGCCAAGCGCTTTTGTCCAGGCATTCCGCCTGCGATAATGTTTGTAATCTGGTGCGTATGTCGCAGGAAGCTTGATGTGACCATGATGGGCATTTCGGTTAGATACAGATTTGTGAAAGTGTCACTTGGGGTACCAGCATATGGTTCTGCAGAGCCGACTGCTGTTGTGCAGAATATATTGTTACTTTGCTTGCTCTCCATACCATGGTCGATGTTGTTTCAACGATCCGAATTTGCAGCTGCACGTTTTGCCAGAGGCCGCATTATGCGTCGGCGCAAGGCACGGGGCCACTGGGGGGTGATGTGGAGCTGTGAGATATCAGAAGTCCAGGTTTCAGCACGGCAGGTGAGGTCATTGTAATGATTCGCTGTCTGAAACGTTCGAGTCGCCAGGGGGGAGAGAGCGGGAACACAACCTGCAATCAATGCTCCTCCGTGAGGCGGGTGTGACGACCGAGGGCAGACCAGTTGTCAGATATCGCCTGCGGGAGCCAAGCGTCAACAGGGCTAATGGTTGGAGGGCGCCTTCAATGCATCCACGAGGATGATAAAACAAACGACAACGACGATGATGAAGAGGAAGGAGGAGGGAAAGGAGGAATCTGAGGAGACTGACGGGAAAAGGGAAGGAAGGAAGGAAGGAAGGAAGGAAGGAAGATGAGGAACTTTACCAGCAACAGAGGGGCTTTTGGCCCACGCTTGAAGGACGAGGAAAAGGAGGAAGAGAACGGGCGAATTGAAGAAGGCGGCATCGAGTGAGGGAGGGATGCAGAAGGAGGAGGTGGCGGGAGGGAAGGGGCGCGAGAGGGAAGGCGGGAGGAGGAGCAGCAGCAGGAGCAGCAGCGGGAGCAGCAGTGGGAGCAGCAGCAGGAGCAGCAGCAGCAGAAGGGAATGATGGCGGAAGGGAGGAGGAGGAGGAGGAGGGGAGGAGGAGGAGGAGGAGGAGGAGGAGGAGGAGGAGGAGGAGGAGGAGGAGGAGGAGGAGGAGGAGGAGGAGGAGGGGAGGAGGAGGAGGAGGAGGAGGAGGAGGAGGAGGAGGAGGAGGAGGAGGAGGGAGGAGGAGGAGGAGGGGAGAGAGGAGGAGGAGGAGGAGGAGGAGGAGGAGGAGGGAGGAGGAGGAGGAGGGAGGAGGAGGAGGAGGAGGAGGAGGAGGAGGAGGAGGAGGAGGAGGAGGAGGAGGAGGAGGTGGGGGGGGGAGGAGGAGGAGGAGGAGGAGGAGGAGGAGGAGGAGGAGGAGGAGGAGGAGGAGGAGGAGGACGAGGAGGAGGAGGAGGAGGAGGAGGAGGAGGAGGAGGGAGGAGGAGGAGGAGGAGGAGAGGAGGAGGAGGAGGAGTTGGAGGGAGGAGGAGGAGGAGGAGGCGGAGGGGAGGAGGAGGCGGAGGGGGAGGGGGAGGAGGAGGAGGGGGAGGAGGAGGAGGGGAGGAGGAGGAGGAGGAGGAGGAGGAGGAGGAGGAGGAGGAGGAGGAGGAGGAGGAGGAGGAGGAGGAGGAGGAGGAGGAGGAGGAGGAGGAGAAGGAGGAGTGAGGCTGAAGGGGCAACTGCCCTTCCACTGTGCAAGCCCACCCCGTCCCCCGCAAGCCGATCCTGGAATTCCAGGCTCGCCTCGCGTGCGCCCCGAGAGGGCCCGGGGCCCTCGGTGCCCCCCATGGGCGCCTCGAGTCTCACGCGGCTTCGCGCCAGCCCGTCAACTCCATGGGTCCTCCCGCCTCCCCCTCTCCTCCTGTGCTCCCGCTTCGCCGCCCGGCTCCTCCGCCCTCTTGTGCCTGGCGGCGCTCTCCCGCACGATCGCCGCCTGCGGGCCGAGGAGCCCGTGGAGCCTGGCGACCGCCCCCCGGGGCCAGGGGCCGCCACTCCAGGCGCGCACCGTGCGCAAATAGGGCACGTGCTGACCAGCCAGGGCCCGGGGGCGGGTCCAGCTTCGCGTGCTTCTGGCCGGGGGGGCGTGTGAAGCCCCTGCTTCAGCCGGCGTCTGGCCTCCTCCGTGGTGGCAGCCTCCAGGGCCCATGCAAGCCTCCAGGAGCTTGCTCTGGCCTTACCTCGGATGCTGCACGTTGGTCCCACAGCCCGTGCAGAAGCGCACATCGGGCTGGCCTGGGCATGGCTTTGGAGCGGCCGAGCCATTCTCGCAGCATCCCTCCGCTGGCACCTTCCGACAATTTTTGATCCCGTGGGCTTCTTGGGAGGGGCAGTCGAGTTCCCCTCCTCCCTCGCCTCCCTCCTTCCTCTCTCCTTGCTATTGCTTCGATGGGATAGGTGAGGAGGATGCGGCCGAAGGATGATGAGGATGAGGAGCAGGAACACGAGGAGGGCTCATGACTAATGACTGATGATGGTGATGATGAGGATGCTGATGAAGATGATGGTGAAGCTGCTGCTGCTGCTCATGATGATGATGCTGCTGATGCTGCTGCTGGTGATGATGCTGATGTTGATGCTGCTGCTGATGATGATGGTTGTGCTGTTGATGATATAAGGTATGAGTTCGAGGTGGAGTCCGAATGGGAGTAAGATAACGACGATGATGATGATGCGAATGCTCTGATGATGCTGACGATGCTGATGATGCTGATGATTATGAGGATTATGATGATGATACTGATGATGATGATGAGGCTGCTGCTGCTGATGATGATGATGCTGATGATAATGATGATGATGATGTTGCTGTTGATGGTGGTTGTGGTGATGGTGATGGTGAACGCGATGGTAATGGTGATGGTGGTGCTGATGGTGATGCTGCTGCTGATGATTATGATATTCAGGATGATGATGATGATCCTGACGATCATGATGCTGCTGCTGATGATGTCGACGATGATGACGATGATGCTGCTGCTGCTGCTGCTGCTGATGATGATGATGATGATGATGATGATGATGATGATGATGATGATGATGATGATGATGATGATGATGATGATGATGATGATGATGATGATGAGGGAAGTCTGTATGAGGGAGCGCTTATGAGGCATGCAGAACACTCGTGTTCAGTAGCCTTCTGTGCTCGAGGAAGGGGAGGGGGCGTGGGTGCTCGCTCAAGTAGCCTTGCGCGAGCTCAGAATGCTTCCGTCGATGCCTTGGGAAAGGGGCGTACTGGGAGCCATGGTGAGTGGATCGGGCTTCCCTGGAGAGGTGATGCGAGAGCCGTGGCCGGGACGCATTCTTGCTTGCATGCTGCTACCGCCAGCCCCGCCGCCAGCGGCCGAAGCCCCGGCGGTGGCTCCAGCGGCGCCTCCGCAGCGGATGCCGGACGCCCCTGTGCCCAAGCGCCAGCGCCACGGGCCAGCCTGGAGATCCGATGGGCTGGCTCCAGTCCTTCACGATCAACAGGTTCGTGAAGCAGCGGTCGAGAAGTGGGTGGTTATCGTCGTGGCGGCGGGCCAGCATAGCAGGCTTGGCGCACACGCCGTGCCTGCCGCCCAGGTTCGCCAGGCTGTCAGCGACATTCTGGAGGTCAAGCAGCCCACGACCATGAACAAGAGGGCCGGAGCGGTAGGCCTATACCTAACTTGGGCGCGCCGCTCTGGGTGCGACCCCTTCCCGTTGGCCGAGCAGAAGGTTGTGGACTGCCTCCGGGAAACGATCCAGGAATCGCCCTCGCGAGGAACCTCGTTCTTAGAGGCGGTGGTTTTTGCAGGGGGCATGTTCGGCCTCGCCGGCGCGGACGATGCCCTTACGAGGTGGACCCAGGGCCTGGCGGCGAAGGGGCTCAAGAGGAAGAACCCGAAGAAGCAGCGGGCGCCCTTCAAGGCCGCGCACTTGTCCCAGGCGGAGGGCGTCATAGTATACGGCCACCCTGCGCTGTCCGGCCGAGGTCGTGGTGCTGGGATATTTCGTCTTCGCTACCCACGTCCAGGGGCGCTGTGGAAACTGCGCGAGAGTCTCGGGCGAGCCTGTGCTGGACCCGCCGGAGGGCAACCGGGGCTTCATCGAGGCCGCGGCGGGGTTCGGAGACCACAAGACAGGGCACGCGGCCAGGAAGGCGGCCGAGCTCCTGCCGCTTGTCGGGCTGGCTCTCGGCGTGTCGGGCAAGCCGTGAGCGGCGTCGTAGCTCCAAAAGCGCGCCGAGTTGGGCCTGAACGCGGCGAGGGACAGTTGCCTCTTCCCAGTGCTGTTGAGCGACGGTCGTTTTGGCGACGCCCGAATGGACACTGCAAAGGGGGGCAAATGGTTGCAGTACCTCGGCAACGCGCTGGGGTGGGAGCAGGCGTACATGAAGGGCATGGGCACGCACTCCGCGAAGGCGACTTTGCTCAGCTGGTGCGCCAAGGCAGGCGTGGACAAGGAGCAGAGGCGCCTCCTGGGCCTGCACGCGGACAAGAACGACCGCGGCCTCCTGGAGTACTCCAGGGACGCTTTGGCAGGCCCACTGCGCGACCTAGAAGGTGTCGTTGCGGCTGTGCGGGAAAACAGGTTTGACCCTGACCAGACGAGGTCTGGGAGGTGGTTGGCCACCCGCTGGGCCAGCCGGCCCGCCAGCAGCGCGCCCGCGAAGAAGGAGTGCCGCACGTGTCAAGAAGTGTCAAGAAGCGTTGGGCGGCGCGCCTGAGCGCGAGTGCGGGCTGTGGGCGGCGCCTGTTTACGCCTCCCAGCAGTGCTACCTAGAGTGCCAGGCGTGCGCGCTGCAGTTCTGCTTCGGGTGCGCGCACCCCGAGATCTACCAGTGTCTCGGCCTCCTGATGGAAGAGACAGATACAACGGATGGTGACCCGGAGGTGGAGGATGATCTCGAGGTCACGGAAGCGCTGGCCGCAGTAATGCCAGCGGATGACGCGGCCCAGCCGATCCCCGAAACGGGTCTTGTCCGGAATTCTTGCACTGCTTGCCTTCGCACGGTGGTGGCCCCTGGAGTCCCCGTGGCCGCGCGCGGCGTAGCTTTCAGCCGAGTCGAGTTCGAGTCGCTCTCTGAGTTGGCCGGTGCCGTCGTCGTGGCCGCGGTGCGCGCGGAGGGGATGTTTCCCGCGGAGCGGCTAGCGGGGCCTCAGCTGCAGGGGGGAGAGTTTGTGAAAAGTTGCGGCTGGAACGGGGCGCAGCTCGCCCGACGTGGGGCGAGCGCCGCTGGCGCGCGCGAAGTGGCGCGCGCCGGGTGAGGACGATAGCCGCGCAGCTCCCGCGAAGGTGCGCGGGCTGTGCTGGCATTAGCGGCGACCGCCCCGACGGGAAAGTCGGTGCCGCGGGGATGTAGCGGTGACGTGGCTGGCGGCGCGCGCGGAGTGGCGCGCTACGTGGCCGACCGCCGAAGGCCGCCCAGGGGTGCGAAGCGGCGCGCCCTGGGCGGCGAAGTAGGCATTCCCATTTCCGAAAGGGGAGGTGAAAGGGGAAGTGCCGAAGGAAAGTTCATCGTCATCATCTTCGTCTTAGTCATCATATTCTCATCACTTACAACATTGTATTTTCATATGCTTCGGAATGAGCCGCAAAAGACAAACCGCGGCACTTTCAATTGCTCTGATAGAAGCGCCAGACATGCCCGCGAATGTGAAGGGACCGTTGCCGGTGCGACCAGTGTGCCGGGCGAGACTCGCGGGCGGCGTTCGAGTTGGAGAGGGCCGTGCTGGCGCGACAAGTATGCCGGCGCAAGACGCGAAGACAACGGGGCAGTGCTGAGAGCGTCTTCTTTGCGGGTCGATGAGGAGGTCGTCTTGTAAGTGATGTGATGCGATCTGCTTCCAATGTCCCCATTTTATCTTCACCTCTTTCTTCCGGAAGAAGGGGGGGGAAAGGAGGGCGAGAAGGCGGGGCGGGGGGGGGGGGCGGGCGGCGGAGAAGATAACCGCGCGCTCATCGGAAGAAGCCCGGCAGGGGCAGTTCGGGTGTGTTCGTCGGGGGGAAGCGTCGAATCAGGGCTGCCCGGCCAGAAGTGTGGTCGCGCGCCCAAGGCTCGCGCTGTTGCCGTGGAAGCTCCCCGCGGGTGGCCGAGCTACGAGGGGGCTGCGAGGTGGCCGAATGCCATGGAGGAGTTGGAGGAGGTGGAGAAAGTGGAAGAGGAAGGTGGAGATGAGGATTGTGATTCTTGGTTGTTCCGTTCGCCCCGTGCCGACGCTCCGTCTATGGCGTGGCGATCGCAAGGCCAGTGTGCGCGCGAAGTGGCGTGCGCATTGAAGCGAAGCGGGCTGCGCAGCACGTGCGATGTGGCACGGGCTGCGGTGCCGTTTGAGGCAATGCTGCCTGCCTCTCCGTGGATGGTAAGCCCTGGCCTGAACCTGGCACGTGCCATGTGGCGCGGTCTGGGCGGCCCGGTGAGGAAGGTCGCTTGCGCGTGCGAGCGTTTGGCCGCTGTGAGCGCGAAGGGGCGTGCACATGAAGCGGATGGGGGGTGCGCAGCGCGTGCGAGGTGGCGCGGACTGCGTTCCCCATTGAAGTGGGGCAGCTCGCCCCCTCGGGGTGCAGGCGCCACGGGAAGTAGAAGGAAAGCACTGTCCAGACTTGGCGCGTGCGATGTGGCGCGTGCTTTACGTCTGGGTGAGGTAGGCCAGAGAGCCGCTCGCGCGTGCGAGGTGGCGCGCGTGGGCGGCGCTCTTGGCAGGGCGTCCCCGCGAGGTGGCGTGGCGGCGTCGCCCTCGGAAGGGATGCGTAGAATGAGTGGCCAAGGGGGCGGTCATGCAGCACGCAAGGCAGGGGCTCCGTAGTCGGATGGGCTCGAGCTGCGGCTCGAATCGCCAGCAAGTTCGCCACCTCTCCGCGCCGCTCTTGCTTGTCAGACCGCCAGCCTTGCCGTCGTGGCGTCGGATAGCGTTGCTGTGTTTGCAAATGGTCACGGAACTGGGGGTCGCAGACTTGTTGCCTCAGATGAAGGTCAATGGTTGGACCGCGCGCGCGACGTTCGCGTGCGCCGCGTCCTGCCTGGCGGGTTCGCCGGGCGACTTTCCGCTCGAGCAGCAGATCATCATCCCGCTGGTGGGCGACAACTCGGTGTCCGAACCGGTGCTCCAGCGCCTGTGGACCGAGTGCGTCGCATTCGCGGTCAAGGACTTCCAGGCGGCGCATTCCAGGACCACGGATGACGCCCCTATGAAGCTATCCGGCGTCGAGCTGGCGGAGCGCCAGACGGCGGCCGGGCGGCGGGGCCCGGATGTCAAGTTCGAGGGGGAGGTCGACGTGAGCAACGCCCTCATCCAGGAGATGGTGGACGTTGTCGAGACGGGCGCGCTGCAGTACATATCGTGGGAGGTGTGCACCAAGCGGTCCCTCGAGCTGCAGGGGGCGAAGCATGAGACAGCCTAGGCGCCGGATTCCAGCCGCGTGATCAAGCGGAAACTCAAGGAGACCGAGGCCGTGGCCGACACCGGCAGCGAACTCAAGATCGAGTACGCATTGAAACGCCGGGGCCTCGCCATGGACATGGCCGGCTTGATATCCTTCGACAAGCACGAAAAGCTCAGTGAGAAACTCTTCGATGCCTTGCTGGAGCCTCCGGCCCCTGGCTACTCGGCCATCGCGGTGGCGCAGGTCAAGAGGGCGGACCAAGAGATCTTCCAGAGGTTGGATATCGTGGCCTGTGGCTCGCTCAAGCCCGTCGCCGGCGTTCCTGTGCTTGACCAGCGCGTGGAGGCCGCGCCCCAGACCCGAGGGCGCGGGCGCGCCGAGCCCCGCTTGCCCACTGCGGCGGCGCAAAGCGGCTCCAGGACGTGGGTGAAGGCCAGGGCGGCGCGGGGGAGTCCCAGAGCGCCCAGAAGGGGCAGAGGCGGGCGGCAAACCGCGCGGGACCAGGCGCGGGTGCGCAGCCGGCCGCTTGCAAGGGGGCCAGGGGGAAAGGGCAAGTGTCCAGGCTTGCAAGGGGGCCAGCCCTGGTCTCCTACGATCCCAGCCTCCACGGCTGCGCGCCCAACAACGGCGAGGGGCCGTTGTGCTTCGCGTGCAACTTGGCCCGCGGGTGCAGCCAGGCCCCCCGGGCGGCAAGTGCTTTAAAGGCCTCCACAAGTGCTGCGCGCCGGGGTGTCTGGAGACGCACCGCTTCCAGGGCCGCCAGTGAGCGACGGACCAGCCGGTCGCGGGGCCACCGCCGGCGCCCCAGCCAGCCGCGCGGCCACCGTTGGCAGGCCAGCCGGCGGGGCAGCCGTTGACGGCGCTCCAGCCACCGGCCCGGCTGCAGCCAGCGGCCTTGCCGCTGCGGGCACGCCTGCCGGCGGCGAGGCCGCCGCCTGCTCGCGGGCCGGCGGAGCAGCCGCCGCCAGCATGCCACCTGGCGGCGCGGCCGCCGCTTGCGCCGGCAGGCCGACCAGCGGCCCTGCAGTTGGCTGTTGGCGCGCCAGCCGGCGACGCGGCCGGCGCCGGCGGGCAGGGCGCCCCCTGCGACAGAAGGAGGCGCGACGTTCCATGTGTACTCGCTTCTTCGGCAATGGGCGCGCTGTCTCGCGCTCTCAGCGCCGTGGGCCCGCCCAAATGGGCGGGTTGACTTTGTCGGGGCTGTCGGGGTGAGGGTCGCGCCGCCGGGTCGGCCGTCGGCGGTCGGCGTCGCGCATCGCGCGCGTCGCGGAGTCGCCGGCGATGCCCGCGCGCGCTCCGCGATGCAGCCGGCCGAGCGCGCTTCTCTTGCCGTCCAAGGGCAGCGCGGAACGCCTGGCAAATCCGGCAGCAACGCGACGGCGGCCCATTTAATTTACGTCGACGACAGTGAGCTCACCGAGACCGCCAAGGCAGAGGGGGCGCGTTGCTCACAGGGTCGGCGTCAGCCGAGCCTATCCTTTTCTTATGTTTAGCCGGTTGTTGATCGGCTGCAGGTGGCCTTGGCGTACTCGGAAATTGGGATAGATCGATGTCCTTCCCGGATTTCTGCTCGGGGAGCTTCGGATCCTTTGGCGGCCCCTCTGCGGGCGCCCCCGCTGGAGATGGTGCTGCAGGTTCCCCGCCTCGGGGGCTTCTGGCAGCTCCCGTCCCCGCAGCCTCGGCGTCGCTAGCGCGCTTGTGCAGGCTGGGCCCCGTCAGCCGGGCCAGCCTGATGGCGGCGCGGCGAAGTCGAGTGCGCCGTGGGTCATCGAGCTGGGCGCTGGCTCAGCGCGGCTCGCAGCCGCCTTTCTTGCCAGGGGCTCCAACGGCATCGGCGTGGACTGGTGGCGCAGCATGCGCGCGCCTGAAGGTCCAGTGGTGAATCTCGACCTGTCGGCGCCAGAAGGCCAGCAGCAAGCTCGCGAATTGCTGGCGTCCACGGGCCCGTTGGCCCTAGCGTGGATGTCCGCGCCCGCAGGGGCGTCGGTCAGGCCCGGTGCGCGGCGATAGGGCAGCTCCGCGCGGAGGCCGACCCCTTGGCGTGGCTGGCATCGGGCATGATGACCAGACCAGAGTCGCCAGGGAGAACGAGCTCTTTCGGTTCTTCGCCAGCATTGCACAGCGGTGCCAGGAACGCCAGGCTTGGTGGGCGTGGGAGGGCCCCCCACATAGCTCTGTTCTTGTGGAGAGACCTTGTCGTTGACCCCTGCGGTGCGGCCGGGGTCCAGGATGTCATTTTCCAGGCCTGCATGCGCGGAGGCGACCGGGACAAGACACAACGTATCATAACTAACTGCCTGGTGCTGGCGGCGCTCAGCGTTGCGTGCGACAAGTCCCATGAGCATCTTCCCTGGGCGGTCGGCGCTCGCCAGTTTGCTGTGGAAGAGTCCATGTGCCCGCAGTGACTGCAAGGGGCCGACGCAGTGACTGCAGCGTGGGCCGCGCGGCCTGCGGCCGCCCTGGCGCCGCCGGTGCCTGGCGGAGCTCGCCTGGCTGCCGCGGCGGTGGCAGCGGCTCGGTTGCCTTTGGCGCAGCGGGCGGCCGCGGTCGGCAAGCGGCGCCGGGGCGTGACGCTGCTAGTCTCAGAGTTCAAGTCGGAATGCGTTGTGTCCTGCACGAGCGAGGAGCTCGTCAGGTTCCTGGAAGGCCATGAGTCCGAGACCAACGCCGTGGTCGGCGGAGTGCAGGTCGTGCGCCTCGAAGTCACGGGGGACGGAGAGGGGCGCGCGGCCGGTGCGACGGCTGTCGCTTGTTGGTGGCGTTGTCAGTGACCCCCCCGGGACGTGTGAGCGCCGTTGACGGTGGCCCCTCTGGCCGTTGTCGGTGCCGTTTTCGGTGGCCCCCCTGTCCGTTGTTGTCGGTGCCGTTGTAGGTGACCCCCCAGTGGGTGGTGCGCAAAATTGTCGAAACTATAGCCAACGCCCAGAGGATCCCCCTGGGGCTTGATGGTGGCCCCCCCTGATGACCCCCCAGGGGCTTGTCGTTGGCCCCCCTGGGAACCCCCTGGGGCTTGCCGGTGGCCCCCTGGGGCTTGTCGGTGGCGTTGTCTGTGACCCCCTTGGGGCTTGTCGGTGGCGTTGTCGGGCCCCCCGTGGGGCTTGTCGGTGGCGTTGTCGGTGACCCCCCCTGGCGCATGTCGGTGGCGTTGTCGGTCACCCCCCGGTCACCCCCCTGGGGCTCGTCGGTGGCCTCCCAGGGGCTTGTCATATGCTGGTGGCCTCCCTGGGGGCCCCCCTCGGGCGTGTCGGTGGCCCCCCGCTGGGGCTTGTCGGTGGCGCCCCTGGGGACCCCCCTGAGGCTTGTCAACGGCCCCCCTGGGGGCCCCCCTAAAGCTTGTCCGTGCTCCCCTTGGGGCTTGTCGGTGCCTTGTCGGTGATCCCCCGGGGGGGGGTGCGCAAACAGGTGAAAAGTATAGCAGATTCGAGTACACCAGCACCGCAGTGTTGATGGTACAATGGCGCTCGACTAGGGCGAGTACATCGGCGCCCTGAAACCGAGCAGGCACTTCGACAATGTCAGGGCCATGGCTGACGAGTCGGCTGGAGGTCAGCTTCCAGACCTCGTTGTCTCCCTCCTGGGAGCAGCGGCCTTCGCCCTGCTCGCCCAGCACCGCGTCGCCGCGTGCATTTGTCGCCCTGCAGAGAGCCGAGAACACGCTGCTCATTCTTCTCGCGATGCAGCTCTTCCGTCGTTCTGGCCACGCCGAAGATCAAAGCGCGCATCGCGTTCACCAAACTCACATGGTAGTTGCGCCTCCTCGCCCATGCCCTGCCCGGCCTGCCGCGGTGCTTCCATGGGCGTATGGTCCAGTGGAGCTCCCGCGTGCCCGTGGTAGACCCGCGTTATGCGCATGTTACATCCGCTTTCACCTCTTACACATTTTTTTCTGGTTTTCCCGTCCCCCTTCCCCTCCCCGTGCCCCCCTCCTCGCCCTCCCCCGGCCCTTCCAGGCCCTCCCTCCTCGCCCCCCCTCCTCGCCCCCCCTCCTCCCCCCTCCTTCCCCTCCCCGTCCCCCCCTCCTCGCTCCCCCTCCTCGCCCTCCCCGTGCCCCCCTCCTCGCCCTCCTCGCCCCCCGCCCTTCCAGGCCAGCCCTGCCCGCGGCGGGGAACCCCGATGCTGAGCGGGCGAGGCCCCAGCTCGCGCCGAGGTGCTGGGCGCGCCGCGCGCCTCCTGCGGCACCTATTCCCCTCGCCGTCTGCCCTGGTCGCGGAGGGGAGAAGGGGGTTCAGGATGGGAGGGGGTTCCCCGAACTTCGTCTTCGGCGCGGAGGAGAGAGGGGCTCCGGGACGGGAGAGGGAGGTCCCCGACGTCGGGCCTTGCGCACTTGGGGGGCGATGGATGGGGGGGTAAGGGAAAGTGCAGCACTCTTCGTGTATTTTAGGGGCCCTGGATGGGGCCCTCTGGGGCCCCAGAGGGGCGCGAAGGGTGCACGTTGCTTCGCCCCCCGATTGATCGCCCCCCGCCATTAGGCAGCGCCCAGTGGTCCATGAGGGGAATGGGTGTCTGGTTCCTGTGCGGCCCCTGCCCCCTTCGCCCTCGGACCCAGGTGGTTTCCCCACGCTTTTGTCTGCTCCTGGCTGATGCCTGCTGCCCCCCGTTGTCCAAGAGGAGTCTGAGCGCATTTAGGCTGCATTCGGATTTTGTAGCTTGTGCGGTCAGCCACAGGGGCTGACCATCCGCACTGGGTGGCCAGAGGGCGTCTACGTGGTCGATCAGGGATCCGTTGCGGCAGCCGTGAGGGGGGTCCCCGAGGAAGAGGGGGTCGCGGTTCAATATGGGCGCCGCTCCGAGGCCACGGTTGGTCTCCCCCCCAAAAATTAAGGTCATACCACATCCCAGGACAGATCCGGAGCATCGACATGTTTTGACTGTTTGCTTTGTTTCGGGGGGTTCTCTCATGGGCCCTTTGGCGCCCAGACTGTGGGGATGCCCCGAGCGAGGCGCTCGTTTTGCACTTCTGACCCCTCTCCATTCAGAGCCCCGTGATCACCGCGATGTAGCAGGCTAAGTCTCTTTCATGCTCGGTCGCTGGCAGCGGGAGGTGCCAGGAAAAGAGATGAACGCATGGGGATCTCCGCGCCGAATATTTTTTGATGCTGTCGGGGCCTCGTGGAGGGTTCTCGCCGCCACGGGCGGAACCCCTTCGAAAGTCTGGTCCGAGCGCACCCCAGGACGTGTGACGTGCAGATGGGGGCCCCGAGGGGAAGGGGGCCCCCGAGGCTGCTCGCCGTACTCGGTCAGAGTCCTGTCCGGGGGAGGCGGGCGCCCCCGAGGTCCGAGGCCTGACTTCCCTCCCGACCCCTTCCTCTCGGAGGATGCTGAGGTCGTACGGATGGCATGGTCTCCGTGTGGCCTTACTCCGCTCGGATGTGGCCTCTCCCGCTGGGATGCCAAGCCCATGCGGGGTACTGTAAGGCCGCGCGGAGTGCTTGGCCTGCGTCTGGCTTGCTGTCGTTCTCGCCCTCGGCTGGAGAAAGGGTGTCGGCCGCGCGCAGACGGGGGCGGCGCGACAGGGGGCGGCCGGAGGGAGGGTGCGCTACTCAGAGGCCTTCTCGCTGCGTTCGGCCACATACCTTCTTGTATGCGTCTCCCAGGGAGGGGGAGCTGCTACCTCGTGGTCTCGACCTCGTCCTGCCTTGCTCGGGCGTTGGCCGGCGCGCGCGCGCGTGGATGCCGCCCGCTGCGTTCCGTAGCCCAGGTGGGGACGCAGCGTCCGAAACGCGTCGCCACCAAAACAGCGCATTGTCACCGGGAATGTACTCACGGCAGGTCTGAGAGCGCCCCACCCGCTCGCCCCGCCCCCTCCTGCGCGCCGGCAAGAGCGGGGAGGAAGCACCGGCACGCTCGCGGCGCTGGCGGGGGCGTTCAGGTGGAGCGCCGCCAGTGGCTTTGAATCGGCCGATGTCGAGCGATCTGCGCCACCGAAAGTCTGCGATCGTTCCAGGATGAACGATCCACCTGGTGTCAGAGGCCAACGCCGACGTCATCCAGACGTTAACCCGCCGTGCCGTGTGAGGATGCCACCCCTGTAGAGGACGGGCGGGTGTCAGGCTACGTGCTGTCTCTTCGAAGGCATTCGGCAGGTGGGCCCCGGCGGCTTGCCAGCTTCCTGGTCCCGTTGTTCCCCGTTGCGGCGGGCAGCCGTTGCATTTCGGCAAGCCGTGGCTGGCAACGTGGAGCTTCTGAAAGTGACCAGGGGCTTTGGACCCGAGGCGCTCGGGAGGAGTGGGAGGATTGGCAGAAGGAGGAGGGGGAGAATGAGGACCATCTATCCAGAGGAAGGACAGGGGGGTGGGTGGGGTGGAGGAGATGAGGCAAGCGAGGAGGAGCTCGAGGAGGAGCATATGAGACCGCGGGGCTGTAGAAGCCCAGGACGGCTCTAGGAGGGACACAGCTGCGGCTGCTCTTCCGAGACAGGGTGGGGAGGAGGCTGGCGAGTCTGAATCTGCGAGGTGCTGGTTCGGCTGGCCATGGGGAACACGCCCTGTGCTGTCTGCTGCACCGACGAGGCAGGCCGGCCAGACAAGGGTGGGGAGGAGGGAACGAGCAGGAGGAGGGAGGGGGGCTGGTGAGGTGAATTGTGGTGATGATGACGGCGAGGAAGAGGAGAATAAGATGGAGGTGGAAGAAGGAGGAAGGAGGAGGAGGATGATGAGCGGGAGGGGACGGGGATGATGGGACGGACCCATACCCGCGACGACTCGACATGTTCGAGCCATCGTCCCCTGGGAACTCTCGACCACTTTCCCATGATTTTTTTTTCTCATGTCGGTGCTTTTTTGACAGTGCTGGCGCCCGAATTGCTTTGTATTCTTACGCTATGTCGACGCTGAAGGGTCGGAGCATTGGCACGGCGGTGCGTCCATACGCCCTGCTTTGGTGCTGCACCTGGGGGCGGTGGAGGTGGTGTTGGAGGTGGTGTTGATGATGATGATGATGACGATGATGATGATGATGATGATGATGATGATGATGATGATGATGATGATGGTAACGATGCTGATGATACTGATGATTCTGACGACGATGATGCTGATGATGATACCGATGACGGTGATGGTGGTAGTGGTGGTGATTCCGATGAGTATGCTGCTGACGATGATACTGCTGCGCTGCTATTGCTGACGGTGATGACGGCGACGAAGATGATGACGATGACGATGACGATTATGCCGACGATGAGGATGACGATCATGACAATGAAGATGATGATATGACGACGGTGACGACGACGATGACGCTGATGATATGATGATGTTGATGATGATGGTGGTGGTGGTGGTGATGGTTTGTGGTGGTGGCGATGGTGATGGTCATGGTCGTGGTGACGAGGATGATGATGATGCTACTGCCGCTGATGATGATTATGAGCATGGTGTTGGTGATGATGGGCGGTGACGATGGCGATGAGGATGACGATCATGACGATGACGATGATGACGATAATGATGATGAGGATGATGATGATGATGACGATGATCATGATTATGTGATGATGATCATGACGATGATGATGCTGACGACGATGACGATGATGATGACGATGACGACGACAATGATGATGCTGATGATGATGATTCTGATGCTGATGCTACTGCTGATGATGATGATGACGCTGATGATGATGACGATGATGATGATGATGCTGCTGAAGATGCTGAATATGGTGATGATGATGATGATGATGCTGAACATGATGATGATGCTGCTGATGATGATGATGATGCTGATGCTGCTGCTGCTGATGATGATGATAATGATGATGACGATGATGCTGACGAAGACGATGACGATGCCGATACCGACGACGACGACGATGACGACGGCGACGACGCTGCTGCCGCCGACGCCGACGACGACGACGCCGATGATGATGATGATGCTGATGATGATGATGATGCTGGTGATGAGGATGAAGATGACGATGAATATGGGTGATCATGAGGACGAGGAGGATGAGGATGAGGATGAGGCTGAGGATGATGATGATCATGATGTTGATGACGATGACGATGACGATGACGATGATGATGATGATGATGATGATGATGATGATGATGACGACGACGATTACGACGATGACGTTGACGACGACAATGACGGCGACGATGATGATGATGATGATGATGATGCTGATGATGATGATGATGATGACGGTGATGATGATGGTGATGATGATGGTGATGACGACGATTATGACGATGATGCTGCTGCTGATGATGATGATAGTGATGGTGATGGTGATGGTGATGGTGGTGATGCTGATTCTGATGATGATGAGGATGAGGATGAGGACGATGATGATGTTGTTGTTGATGGTGATGATGATGACGATGATGATGATGATGACGATGATGATGATGATGATGACTGTGAAGATGATGATGATGATGATGATGATGATGATGATGATGATGATGATGATGATGAGGATGATGATGATGATGATGATGGTGATGCTGATGCTGATGATGATGATGCTGCTGCTGCTGATGATGATGATGATGATGATGATGCTGATGCTGATGCTGATGCTGATCATGATAATAATGATGATGGCTATGATGATGATGCTGATGATGATGATGATGATGATGATGATGATGATGATGATGGTGGTGGTGGTGGTGGTGGTGGTGGATGATGATGATGATGATGATGATGATGATGATGATGATGATGATGACGATGCTGCTGCTGCTGCTGCTGATGAGGAGGAGGAGGAGGAGGAGGAGGAGGAGGAGGAGGAGGAGGAGGAGGATCATTAATTTCTCGCGTTTGGGGCTGCGCCCTGCAGACCTGCTGACTGGCGTGTCCGGCCTATCGGGGCGCCTCGTAGCTCTGGACGTCGGGATTTGCAGCCCTGCCGCGGCAGGCGCTGGTGGCGATTGCGTCGAATCCATGAGGTAGCGCAAGGTGGAGTTCTACCAGTCCTTTGCGAGGGAGCTGGAGGCCGCTGTCGTGTGGTGCAGGCCCGTGACGTTTTCGTGTTTCGGGCGGCCGCGCAAGGACTCCTCGTGCAGAGCCTGGCAAGGCGGCTCGCTCGGCGCCACAGCACCGAGACGTACGTCGAGGATCGGCGCATCGAGGCCTGCATCGCCGCGGACATCTGGCGGTGGGTGGCGCGCATGGTGCGGTGGTGCTTCCCCACGTCGGCCGATGAGGAAGCGGCTGCAGGTGAGGAGCACGCGCTGGATAGCCGACACGCTGGTGACCCACTGGGGCCTCTTGGAGCCCCCGCCAGGTCACCGATCTTCCAGTGACCTTCGACTGTCTCTTGCAGCCCCCGCTAGGTCACTGACCTATTCCTCCATCCCTGCCTGTCTCGGTTCTTTTCCGCGGCTCTCCTCGCCGTTGCCGTGGGGTCGTGCACCTTTTATTTCGGGCGAGGGTGTCGTTGAGCCTCCTGCCAGCCATTTTTGCGGTCCTCCGCGCGCCCCTTTGTCGGTCTTCCTTTGTGTGAATTCATAGGGCATGATTCAGCACAGCTCAACAAAACTGTGTTGGGTTCTCTCTGGGCGCTTTCTGCCTCCCCGGTTCGGTCCGGGCCCTGGTTCTGCCATTTCCTACCTCCTCTTCCTCCCTCTCCTTGTCCCTTCTTTCCTTCTCCTCCCTCCTCTCCCTCCCCTTGCGCGACAGGCGCGTGCATGATGCACGGCTGGCGCGCGCAGCCTTTTGAAGCCCCCGAGATTGCACCGGTGCAATCCGGTCGGGGCCCCTTTCTTCAGCTGGGCGGTTTCACAGTTGAAATCGGCTCTGTGGGGCGATGTGCAGTTCTGGGCTTGAATAAAATGATGATGCTGCTGCTGCTCATGATGATGCTGCTGCTTATGATGATGATGATGATGATGATGATGATGATTGTGATGATGATTGTGATGGTGACGGTGACGGTGACGGTGATCGTGGTTGCGGCGATGATCGTGGTGGTTGTGATGATGATGATGTGGAGTGCGTGTTGGAGTTTGAATTTGAGTGGAACTCAAATAATGACGATGATGAGATGGGAATACGGCGGGAAGGAGCATAGATGCGGCATGGAAGATGGAGGTTGATGGGGACGAAGAGGGTGCGAAGGGAGTAGGGATAATGACGATGAGGAAGATGATGAGGAAGAGGATAAAAATGTTCGATGGATAGGGGGGAAGGAGGATGATGATGATGATGACGATGAGGACGAGGAAGAGGAGGATAAGGACGGCGAGGAGGAGGAGGAGGGGCAGGGGGAACAGGAGGATAGGGAAGCGCGGCGTTGTCTTGACCCCAATCAGGTGCGGACGCCCAAGTCGGTGGTGGTGCTCACGATGACGACGACGATGACGACGATGATGATGATGACGACGATAATGATGATGATGACGATGATCATGATGGTGATGATGATACTGTTCTTGATGATGATGCTGATGATGATGGTGATGATGAAGGTTATGGTGTCAATGCTGATGCTGACGAGAATGACGACGACGATGAGGATGACGACGATGATGGTGATACTAAGTGCGATGACGATCATGCAGATGATGATGAAGGCGACGACGAGGATTCTGTCAGTGCAGATGACGATGGCTGTGACGATGAACACGACGACGATGCTGATGATGATGATGCTGATGCTGCTGATGATGATTGTGATTATGAATCGGATTCTCATTCTGATGATGATGATGATGATTCTGGTATTGTTGTTGGTGGTGATGATTATGAATATGCTTGTGATTTTGATAACGATGATGCTGATGATGATGATGTTTACGATGACGATGCTGATGCTCATGATGATTGTGATGATGACGATGAAAATGGTGATGGTGATGGTGATCATGATGATGATGATGATGATGATGATGGTGATGTTGATGATGATGATGATGATGATGATGATGATGATGATGATTATGATGATGGTGATGATGATGATGGTGGTGGTGGCGATGATGATGATGATGATGATGATGCTGATGCTGATAATGAGGATGATGATGATGGTGGTGGTGCTGGTGATGATGTCAAAGTTACCGAACGTTGGCCGCCTAGTTGTTGTTGTTGTTGTTGTTGTTGTTGTTGTTGCTATTGTTGTCGTCGTTGTCGTCGTCGTCGTCGTCATTGTCGTTGTTGTTGTTGCTGTTGTTGTGGTGGTGGTTGTGGTTGTTGTTGTGGTTGTTGTTGCTGTTGATGCTGTTGTTGTGGTGGTTGTTGTTGTAGTTGTTGTTATCGTTGTTATTATTGTTGTTGTTGCCGTTGTTGTTATTATTATTATTGTTGTTGCGGTTGTTGTTTTTGTTGTTGTTGTTATTGTTGTTTTGGTTGTTTTTTGTCGTCATTGTTGTTGTGGTTGTTGTTATTGTGGCTGTGGTTGTTGTTGTTGCCGTGGTTGTTGTTGTTGTTGATGTTGTTGTAGTTGTGGTGGTGGTTGTTGTTGTTGTTGTTGTTGTTGCTGCAGTTGTTGTTGTTGTTGTTGTGGTTGTTGTTGTTGCTGTTGCTTCTGCTTCTGCTGTTTTTGTTGTTG